ATGATGATGTTGATGATGATATGATGATTTGATGATGATGTTGATGATGATGATGATGATGATGATGATGATGATGGATGATGATGATGCTGATGATGATGATGATGATGATGATGATGATGATGATGATGATGATGATGATGATGATGATGATGATGATGATGATGATGATGATGATGATGATGATGATGATGATGATGATGATGATGATGATGATGATGATGATGGTGGAGGAGGAGGAGGAGGAGGAGGAGGAGGACGACGACGAGGACGACGAGGACGACGAGGACACCGACGAGGCTCTCCCGACTCTGTCTGTCCCCTCTACCCTGAGTCATGCACGACCCGGAGCCCTGGCGAGGACCTCATCACCCTCTCCAGAGCCAACGCGGGCCTGAAGCTAGGCGCCCCGCTCGGCTTCCCCTCTGAGGCACGCTGCGGGAGGCGGGTGAGGCGGGGGGGGAGGAACCGGATCAGCATCAGCTAGCAAATCATGAGGTCGAGGAGGAGGCCGTGATCGTGGAGGAAGAGGTGGCCAGACGGAGGTAGGGTGCACCGAAGCCGTGCGCGTGCGTCGAAGCCATGTATGTGTGGGGTCAGACAGGTCTGCCCTCCAGTCTTGATCGCCGGCACTTGTTTATGACATGCCTATATGCGTCTTACCTCGCAGAAGTCATGGCCTTGGGCGAAGCCGTGCAGGCTTTGAATTTCGTGCGCGGCCGTCGCAGGAACGGCTTCGGTTCTGGAGAGAAGCTAAGTAGGAGAGACGGAGCGAGGAGGGAGACGGGAAGAGAAGGAGTTGGAGGTGGAGGAGGAGGAGGAGGAGGAGGAGGAGGAGGAGCAGGAGGAGGAGGAGCAGGAGCAGGAGCAGGTGGCACGTGGCGGGAGGGATGGGTTTGAGATTTTCTCAGAAGGCCCGAGGCCTTCTGAGCCTTCTGTGAAGGCCCGCCCCCTCGGCCTTCCCCCCTGGGCGCGCCGCCGAATGTCGTGATCTCGCGCCCCGAGGGGGCCGACCGCAGCGGTCGCAGTTGGCGTTGGAGGCCCAGCCTCCCCGTCGCGGCGAGCGGCCTGGCTGATTTGGCGCGCCGCGCGTAGTGGCCCTCCTCCTCCTCGTTCTTCCTCGTTCCTCCTCGTTCCTCCTCCTCGTTCCTCCTCGTTCCTCCTCGTTCCTCCTCGTTCCTCCTCGTTCCTCCTCGTTCCTCCTCGTTCCTCCTCGTTCCTCTTGTTTCCTCCTCCTATCCCTCCTTTCCTTCCCCTTCTCCTCCGCCTCCTCTTCCCCGTCCTCCCCCATCCTTCCTCCTGTTTGCACCTCCTCCTTCTCCTCCTGATCCCCTCCCCGTCGTTCAACATGTTTCTGGTAGCATGGTTTTAGCAGGCTCAGATTTTGGGTCCGTTGCTGGTTCGATCGCCTTCTCCCAGGGTAGTGCGACCCCGCCGCGAGAGGGTCCGGACTGTGTTCCTCCTGCTCGTTCTCCACCTCCTCCCTTCTTTTCGCACCCTTCTCCTCTTCCTCCTCCTGACTGCTGGTCTTTTCCCTCTCCTCCGCGTGTTTTCGCGGAGCCTGCTGGCCGTGAAGGTGTCTAGGCGCTCTCCTCTCTCCCTACTCCTTCCTCTCACCTTCCCATCTGTCGGGCCATCTGTTTTGGTGTGATCCCACCCGTGGGGGGGGCGGGTGCCACCGGCAACACCCAGAGATGCACAAACATGTGGATTCTACTGTCGCTTCCAGCAAAGTCTGTGGTGGCTCACGCAGGCGCGGGCTGCACGAAGGGAGAGGAGGGGGGAGGCAGGGAAGGGGGAGGAAGGAGGAGAGGGGGAGAGGGGGAGAGGGGGAGCAGGATCAAAAGGAGGGCGGAGGGAGGGGAGCAGAGGAACAGGAGAAGGGGAAGGAGAGGGGAGGGAGCAGGATGAAGTAGGAGTATGAGGAGGAGGAGGAGGAGGAGGAGGAGGAGGAGGAGGAGGAGGAGGAGGAGGAGGAGGAGGAGGAGGAGGAGGAGAAAGAGCAGGAGGAAAAGGAGGAACCCAGCGCCACAGCGGCCGCCCACAGGGGATGGAGAGCAGGACGACGCCAACGTTCCCCCGGAGGTCGCTGAGATGATGGAGGTGATGCAGGCCAGCCTCTCCACTGTAGACTGTAGTCTGCTCCTCTCCTCCTCTTCCTCTCCCATCTCCCTCTCCCATCTCTTCCTCCTCCTCCTCCGCCTTCTCCTCCTCCTTTCCCTCCTTCGTCCTAGTCGCGTCCGTATAGCCATTTGGCTCGAGTTCCCCCGTTTTTCAGAAGTCGATTTGGCCACGCCACGCCCGCAGCTACATGTTCAGTATCATGCGCTTCGGCGCCTGCCTTCTATGCCCGCCTGGCGCAGTGCATCTTCTGTGGCGTGTCCATGTTCTGCCAGCTGGTCATCCCAGGAGTGGCCAGGTGATCTTCTCGGCCCCCTCTCAGTGTGGATGCTGACTCGGGCGCACAGGATGGCTCGCCTTCGAATCTCCACGCTTGTGTGTGCGCTGCGGCTCGACGGCTTTGCCTTTCTGCGTGCGTGCTCCTGGCGTCAACTTCTGGCAGCTCGCAGCGGCCTCGGCGGTGGAGCTCGGAGGCCACCCAGAGGTGCGGTGACCACACCGTGTGGTGCGTCAGTGGGGGTTCGGGGTGACCGCACGGTTTCGGCTCCGTTTCGTTCATGCTATCGAAGGGCTCGCTCTGCGCACCGCCAGCCGCGCCCATCCTTCCAACCACCAGTAGCCGTCTGGAGAGGAAGCCCGTGGGCGAGTGCAGCGAGGAGCGGTGCGAGACGACACACGGCGCGTGCCAGCAGGCCCCGCCTCGGCTGACCTGGTGGATGGGAGCCCTGCTAGCCCGATCGGGGCGAAGGCAGAGAGTAAGTGGGCGCCAGCCGAAGCTTTGCCGATCTCCGCCATGTTGGGGACCCAGACGTCCGCCGATATGATTCTTTCAGCCCGCAGCATCAGAGGTCTCGACCGCTTCCCCGCGGGTATTTTTTTTCTACCAGGATTAATGTTTGATGGCCCGGGGCCCGAAAACGGCCCCCGAGGCCGCACTCGAGGAAAGGCCACCGGGATCGAACGAAACCATATACAGCGTCGGAAGTTTAGGTTGGGAATGCCGCGGTCGGTGGTTTCGACCAGGTCTTGGGCTTTGGAGGGCCCCCCGTGAGCCTCTCGTGATGCTCCCCGCCTTCGTCCCCGCTGAGCGCCGCTGGCGTCGTCGGATGCTCACCCGCTCCCGCGCAAGTCGCAGCGGGAAGCGCCAGGCAAGCCGACGCGCTCGCCCCCCACGCGTGGTGGAGGAGGAGGAGGCGGAGGAGGCGGAGGAGGAGGAGGAGGAGGAGGAGGAGGAGGAGGAGGAGGAGGAGGAGGAGGAGGAGGAGGCGGAGGGGTGGGCGCCGCACTGTGCGGACGTCCGCGCCCTCCCCGAAGGAACGCCGCGTCACCGACACGAGCCTCTTTGGAGGTCTGCCCAGATTTTCCTGCGTCGGCGCGGGGCCCCCCCCCCCTGGCGCGCGGAGGGCGCCACGGGCGGCGCGGGAGGCTCCGCCGGGGGTGTCCAGCGCTGGGCCATAAGATCGGATCCGCGCAGACCTCCGACAGCTTTCGGAGGTTGACAGGCCTCCTACCCCGACGCGCCGATTAGCGAATTGGCCACTCTCGGTTCGCGAGAGGGCGTCGCGGCCGTAATTTTTGCGGGTCCAGGTCCGTCGGTTTCGGTCCCAGGGCGTTTTCACTGAAGGGTGGTTTGGTGAAAGGGAGGTTCGTCCACCGCCGAAGCTTACGAATGTGACGGCTTTCTCTTTTTCCCTCCCTTGTCCGTGCCGCAACACGCACGGGCGTTGCCGACAGCACTCTGCCTCCTGGTCCCCCCTTCCGCTTCACTGCTCCCTCAGAGGCAACGCGGAAGGGGGGGGTAGGCTCAGGGGGGAACGCATCGATCCCATGACGCCCATTCATCGCTCATAGGGGCCCGATAGCCCGCCCCAGCCAGGAACGTGCGGTTTCTGCCGAGAGCCTGTCGCCGATCTATCGGCGATGTATCGCCGATTCGAGCTCGATATTTCCCCGCCTGAGCCCACCCCCCCACGGCTTGCGACGCTGAAGTCAGGAACCAATTTGGGGCCAGAAGGGGTTTCTTTTCAGTTTTAGTTCATTTTCGGCTTTCGTTATGGTATCACGAGGCCCGTGCCGTCCTCCGCTCGCTCCCCCAATCCTCCCACCTCCCTCCATCATCCTCCGCCATTAAGTGGGTATCAGCCAATTCCAGCGAGTTCCACCCTGGGATTGAGGATCGACGCTTTTTGGCCGGTCCTGGCCATTGTCGGGCCGCCAGAGACAACATGATCATGCTTCTTCTTACTCTGCTTCTTCTTCTTCTTCTTCTTCTTCTTCTTCTTCTTACTATTATTATGTTTAGGTTCCTTATTTCTCTTCTTCTTCTTCTCCTCCTCCTGCTCCTCCTTCTCCTCCTCCTCGCTTTCCCTCCCTTCTCCCCTGCCTCCCTCCCGCCTCGGCCCTGGGTCACCCGAGTGGATCCCCACCCCCGTCACACAGGGGGGGACCCTTGGGCATCGGGGTTCACGGCTTGGGTTCCACGTCAGCCGCGCTGCCAGGGCCAGGTCCCTTTTCTGAAGGCCTGTCCTGGTGGCATTCCTGGCCTGGCTGCGCTTCCGAATTCAATCGCGCTGTCCAATGAACAGCCGACGCAACTTAGAATGGTAGTCGCTGCAGTGATTGACAGGAGGTGGTAATGATGGCGCCGACTGCAGATGCCTTCAGCCGAGACTGACGACAGCAGGCTAAGCAAAAAGGGGCGGGGCACGCCTGACGTGGAGCGCGGCGCCCAGGTCGCCGCTGGTGCCGTCAAGGAAGCGGCGGCAGCAGCGGCGGCAGCGAGGCGCGCAGGGTGGACCCCGACACGTAGCTGTCCAGAGCTCCCCGCGAAGAGAGGTGAAGGCCTCTGGAGGCCTTGCCGAGCTTCCTGGGCTGCTTATCCCTGGTGGAGGCAACCTGGGACGGCCCACGGCACAGAACTTGACGGGCCCTGGGAACACCGTGGGGCAGCGCCCAGAGTCCCGCACATCGAGAGGAAATGACCACACGCGCATGCTGTCTCGATCGCATGGCGGCCTTTAGTAGTAGACAATTCAGCCACAGTCGCCGCACCCGCCACCTCGAGAGGAATTTCAGGAGGAGGGGGGGCGGAAGGACACTAGCCTCGGCCAGGGCCTGGTCTGCTTCCGCCACCTCGAAGGGCCGCGCGGCACCACTGAGGCCTTGGAGCCACTGCTGGCCCCTGAGGCCCGACACCCCGGTAGGGCGGCAGTGCGTCGATCGCCCAGTACGAAAGGTGCTGGGGCGTGGTCGCCGTGCGAGACCCAACGAAACACTTGATACACCTAGCCTCGCCATTCAGATCATTGATGAAGAACTGATGGCCATGCTAGCTGTGGCGAATCGGCGGGAGGGGCTCGCGCCACGGCGGGAGGCGACGCGATGCCCGTCACACTCTTTGTGGCGGATCATGCGGGCGGCGGCCCGGGAAATACAGTCGGGGGTGGCCCTGTGGTAGCCGAGCTCTGACTCCACTGCTTGCCTGAACGGGTTCGCAATCATCGCGCGGGAAGAGGCCGGTTTAGTAAAATAGAGTCGGCACAGGCATGTCCGACCCAGGCAATTCGACCAAGTTTCTGGTCAAACAGAGGCAGGCAGGGAGAGATCCTTACGCTGGGTGGCTTGCGCAACATGGCGCGCCAAACGTTGTCATACCTACGCGTTCTACAAGCGAGCTCGGGGTCCCAGGATTGGCCTTCCTCAGCCACCGACAAGAGATCAGCGATGCACACCTTCAGCTCAGGATGGGCCCTCAAGGCCTGAAGCGCGGCCACGCGCTCCGCGCGCCCCGCGGTCTGCAATGGCCTTGCCGGGAAACAAAGCGAACGCGACTGGGCTGGAGGTTCGTATCGAGCTGGACAATCGACCAGCCAACTCGACGGACCTCAGGAACCGACAGACCCTGAGTGTTCCCATGCCCGAAAGTCACAGGACCCCGCGCGCCCCCGACGCCCCCCCCCCCGCTCCCAGATCTCAGCGCGCTCGAGCACCGGCGGAACCTGGACAGAGAGCTCGGGGATCCCATACTTTAGATACAGGGTCTCCCAGTCAGCTTCTAGCGAACTTCAGCCCAGAGCTCTGAGGACCCCCCGATGAGAAGCATGGCTTTGAACAAACCCTCAGCCTGTGTCTCATCGGGCTCGAGCAGAACTGGGCAGTCCAGCAACGCGCGGCCAGAGCAGCCGCCCTGCCCCGAGAACCACGCGCTCCGCATGCAGCGGGACTTTCTCTTCCCCGGGCTCGGAGGCGGGCGGGGGTCGCCAGGCGGTCAGTCCAGGCGCCCTCCAGGCGCCGAGCGTGGCCGGTGGCAGATCTCGAAGCCCGAGGCGCAGAGCACGCCCCCAGGCATCATGCGCAGCCTCCCGCATGGGCGGGTGGGCCGCCAACTCTGCACCTGCCAGCGTTCGCGCCGTCCTCCAGGAAACGCTTCATGTCCGCGGACGCCACCCTCACGTGGTAGCAGATCGCGCCAGGGTCCGAGCGCCACTGGTGGGGCCCGGGTGAAGACTAGCCGGTGCGCGTCAAGGTGCGGAAGATGGCAGCCAGCGGGCCCCTCGCAGCAGCCCACGTGGAACCACATCCAGCATCCGCAGCCTTGTGCATCAGGGCTTGCCGTCCTGCTCGCAACTCGCTGAGATGTACTCGGCAATCCCATGCGAAGCAGTGGTATCGGCGCAGCAAGCTGGTCGTCGGACCATAACGCACCTGCCACTTACAGTGCAGGCTCGCCGTCTTGTGCGCCCGAGGGGGTGCACCCACCAGCATCGCAGCCACAGCCCGCGTCTGCCGAAGTATGTCATCAGAGTGGCCATCCACTCCTGCTCCACGGGCAATTGCAGGCTCAGCCCCTGCGCGCTGCAGCACAGATGCACGTGGCAGTACCGATGCACGGCTGAACATCGCCAACCTCCGCTGCCCCTGTCGACGGGCCTTCACTCTGGCCTTCTCCTGCGTGCGTAGAACTTGGGCGCCCATCGTTTCATGGCCAAGGT